TCCAGTATGGTTGAACCTTTGGCATAGTTCTCATCCTCCTCGGAGCACACAAGCCCCACAACCATGTCAAGGTAGCACCTCACTGGGGGTCTATTATTATTATTATTATCATTGTCATCGTCATCATCGTCGTCGTCATCATCATCATCATCATCATCATCATCATCATCATCATCCCACATTAAAAGCCAGGAGGAAACATTAAAGCTGCTTCATGTGTGACATTTGGAATGTATGCCTGTATTCTTATGTGCTGAAAAAAGGGAACATTTGGTGTATTAAAACATGTGTTTGGCACCACAGGGAACTCCTGATCGGTTGTGACTCCCTGCAGAGCTACCCAGTAATGTCTGCTGTTTTTGCGATAGCTTCTCCTGCCTCCCTCCTTCTTGGCTCTGGCCCATCTGCTGGAGCCAGAGTTCTTATTTTGCCTCCCAGCACAGAGGAAGGAGTTGGGGGGGGGGGGCGAGGGGACAACTTGTGGGGCTGAAGAGCAGGACAGAAGTCCTGGGTACATCCATTTTCTCATATTACAATGACATAAAGACAGGCACCAATCTAGCTATATTTCAGCAAGCATATTCCCCTCCCCTAATATATGAGGTAGCTGAAGCCAGCTAACTATAGATGATGTATTTTGGGGCAGTGAAGCCTAACCCACAAACCATCTATCCTTCTATCTTACCTCAGATACGAACAGAAGCTGTTGTCTCCTAAGGTTTTAGTGGCATATGCTATCAAATGGGAAACAAACTGCCTTCTCTCTTTGTACATGTTTGAATGCCACAGGTGTTTTCAAACAGATGTTCTGGAAAGAAGGGAGGGAAGTGGGGACTTTGAATGCCCTCAGTACCAGCTGTTGACATTTCTCTATTCCAGGAATTTTTCTATTCTGTTTTTAAAGCAATGCTTATATCTGATAGCTGACAGCCAGTTTGGTCTAGTGATTAAGGTGTTGGACTAGAAGTGGGGAAACCTTAAGCACAGAAGTCAACTGGGTAACTTTGGGCCAATCACTCTCAGGCCTAGGAAGAAGGCAACAGCAAAGCACTTCTGAAAAATGTTGCCAAGCTAACTGCAGGGGCTTGTTCAGAGAGTCACCAGGAATCCAGTCTGACTGGAAGGCAGATGTATCTGATAGCAGAGTACATCTAATTTCTCAATTTAATCCTATTTGCTATGAAAAACTTGTCTAATTTTTAGCCTTCTTTGTTCAAATTTCATTTTGCCTGAATAACCATGTTAGTCTCTTACAGGATCTTAAAGACAAGCCCATTTATTATTGCAGAAAGTTCCTTGGTCACAGTGTATTTAATCAGAAGCACAGAGGACAGTGCTGGGAAAGGAACAATTACTATGGGTTCACAGAATACTTCTTTCTCAAGGTTGTATTCTGGGCATCTGATTAAATGATCTGTGCTCCAAGAAAGTATATCCCAAAATAATCTTTAAGGTGCCACACAACTTTTTCAATGGAGTGATTTCTACTAGTTTGCCATTGTGTAAAAGGGAACACTGCAGCACTTACTCTTTTCCAATTGCTTACCATTTCAGTGTTTGATCCTCAGTTCCACCTCCCTTCAGTATCTTGAATTGGAACCATGTCATCATTTTTATCCAAATGTCATCTGGGCACATGTTTGCACCCATGAGCTTCGCTATTTAAAAATGAGAGCCACTTGAACTCTGATCTCAGCATGGCTTGGGATGTTAACTTTTTAGAGTTTCTCTAACTACCAGTATTTGTTCCTCTGGGCTGTTTTTATCTCCAGTGTCATCAGTCAAACTGTTTGGGGAAATTCTGGCTAAGGTGACTAAAGACTAGAAAATCATGAAAATGAATACCTACTGAAAAATGACCATTTGCATTCTCCTTTAATACTTTATGCATCTGCAGACAATACTAAAAATGAAAACGAATTGCTCTGATGAATTGATAGAATTTGCAGAATGTAAAAATTTTTGAAAGAAGACTTTTAAAGCGTTATGAATTATTTAGATCCATTCACTGGATTCAGACAACACATTCAAGATGATTTTTCAGTTAGTCATTTGCCAATGGAAAGATACAGCACAGTTTAGATGAACTATGAATCGCTTCTTGTGCAGTTTAGTCCTGAAATGTGAAGTCTGGAACATAGTGCTTCTTAGAAATGGAATAAAGGTTCAGAAGAATTGGGCTTTTAATACAAATATTTTGTTAATTCTTGGTTTAAGCTGCAAATTCTCCCCAACCATAATGAATTTAACCCCTCTAGAGGTTAACTACTAGAATGCGTGATGGGCTAGCAGTGTGATACCCAGAAGCCTTTCCCTTCTTCCGGAGTTGTATCCCTCTTCCGGAGTTGACACATTTGTTGCCTTTGCTAACACTACTTGAAACATCACCTGATTTCATATAACTATGTTAGTATAAATAAATTACATTCTTAAAAAAAACCCCCAAAACCTTTAATGAACTTACAGCCCTACAGTACATGAATGGCTATGGGAGATATTGCCTTGAAATAACGGTACACAATCTGAGGGCCCAGAGCAGTGTGCGGGCCCCAGATCTTGGATGCTGCTCCCCTCTAAATGTGGCTGCCATTTTTTAAAAATAACAGGTGTTATTAAATACAAATGGAGTAATCATATTATTTTTATTTAAGTCATGGAAGTTGAATTACAACTAGATTGAATTCAAATTAATTTAAGTTTTGTTTTGCGTCCACTGGGTTGTTTGAATGTGGGCCCTTGGTATGATTATGTACAACCCAGGCTATTGATCCTGGAATCAAATGTTTGCATAGAACCCCTGAAGATTCTCTATTCTATCATCTATTGGTCTTTGACCAAAATAAAATTAGATTGACTATTCTATCATCCTTCTATAAAAAAATTATCTGAAATATGCTACTTCCTCTAAGAAATGCCACTACATTTACTGAAAGTATTCTGGCTTTTCCTGAAATTCCTTTTTTTTTTGTTTGGCTTTGATATGGAATCCCAGATTAACTTCATTTTTAATTTCAATAGCAAATATCCCACCAAAGTCACCTTTCTTTGATGTGTGAGTTTTATCCCACTACTCTGAGGGACTGCACAGTGCAATAAATAATATCTTAAAATTGAGACAGCACCCCATGTCTCAATATTAATCTATTTAGATCCCTGCACATTTTCAAGTGGCCAAATGCCCAATATTATAGTGAAGCTTTTGTTTTATTTTTTTTAAAAAAACCCTCTGATGGGCAAGCTGGCCTGATACCCAGCTTAATTAGCAAAGATTTTTCAAATGTGCTTTTGGAAAGGTAGCTCCATGCCTTATTTTGCAACTGCAATCCCATGAGACAATTTGAAATGATGTGTCTCATCTCCTGGGTATCTTCTCCAGGGAAATCTAGTATAATCATAATCAGCAACTAAACACTTTAGCAAATCCCAAATGTATCTTATGAATTGGCTCAGTTGATCAAGATGACTACATTCCTAACAAGCAATGACAGAAAGGAAAAACAAAAAAAAAACCCACAGGAATCTTTTATTAAAGCCTCAATCTTCTACATAAATGATGTGTGATCTTATGTTAAGATTACGCAGCAAAAGGTCTTCTAAATAATGACCAAAGCTCAATCTAGAATACCTCCTTGTTTTTCTTTTCCAGATGTGTGATGAATATAATTATTCATCAGTAATAGACCCTCTATATATGATCACAGCCATGCTCCTTCAGAAATTAATATCAGTTCAGTGATCCAATATTGAAAAACAGGATTCAATCTCAGTTTCAAATGAAGTCAGACTGTTAAAAGAGAGAAGATCCAATCCCATGTCAATCTGCATTTCCTCATCCTAAAGATGTTACAAGAATTGCAGCAATTCATGGCAGACATTCATTATTTCTAGCTATTACCAGTTTTCACTGTGCTGCATCTTAAATTGCCTAAGAAAGGAACTTGGTAAATCAAATTCTGTATTTGGGCATAGAGCTACAACATGCTTTATCGAAGGGAGAGGTGGTGCTATACAGTACTGCAGATCAACTTCTGTGAACAGGATATGCATATACTGATCTGCAGTCTTTATTCTTTCTCTTCTCATAAGATAGACTACTCACATGAAGAGCCTTAAAAGTAAGATTTAATGAAGAAACCTGCCTTCAAGTGGTAATGGTAGTGGGTAATGGAAGCTTATACAGCACCAGTTTTACTGAGAGAACTCATCTGCTGAAGAATGGTAGGCTGAACCCAGAGGCATACCACAATATTAGACCTACTAACTAGATCAGATCATTTAGCTTTTTGGTAGGGAGAAATTTAAACTTGAACAAATTTGCGAATGATCTCATGCATATAAAATCAATCCAAACCACCACTCCTTCACTTCATATCATAGGTTTTAATCTATTTAAGTCTCCAAAGTAGAGTGTTTGAAGTCTTCCTACAGAGATAAGAGCTCCATACTGACTCAACAGGTGGACAGAGACCTGTAGCCAGTTTTTGCTGTACCACTGATAATCTTAATCAGGCTTCCTGTCTTGCTTTTCTATAAAGTTGCAGTCCATAATAACTTCAGACATGGTTGTGATAATGCAGGAAATTTAAGCAGCTACAATTTCTCCTGGTTTGTTTCCAAATTTTGTGATATTATTTTACCTTCTGCCTTTCCGTCAGTTCTCCCTCTCTGAATTGTCTTGAGGGAGGAGGGGACAATAGATACTTAGAAAAATATGTATATGTATAAAGCATTAGAAACATAGTTGGTTCAAATACATTGTTCATAAGATTCAGAAGAGAGATAAAGAAGAAAACAGATCTATGTATAAAAATATCATCATTTTATTACATTCCACACAATACATTGTCAAGAATTTCAAAATTCCACAAGATATTTTCACACACAGGCAACTGAGTGATGCTGACAGTGTCACAGCTGTAGGGGGAGGAGTGAAAGGTGATGGTAAGAATTTGGGGTGGGCAGGTGAATCTTTGGTGAATTTTTAAAAATGGGGTATCCCAATCAGGTTAAATACATCCAGACTGAGTATATGTTACTCAAGGTGAAATATAGAATACTCTTGGATATATTGCTGAGGGGGGGGGGGGGGGGGAGTGCAAAATCAAGAAAACCAATGGGAGGGTACAATTTAAACAGACCATTATTTTGCATTGGGGATTTCCTATGACAAGTACCACAGTTACAGAAAGTCAAGATACTTGCTAACATATGACTTCCATTCTAGAAGAAGTTTTCCTGGGGCCTACAAAACCAAAGGACTAAAAACCAAAAAAGAGCAAGCCCATCTTAAGAGGTGATAATGAATATTTTCTGAAATATGAGCTTTCCTTGTTCCATGGCCCTCCTTGAAGAATGTCCACTCCCTCCCCATTTTGAGATAACAGATGTGTGATCACCTTTTGCTCTCACACGTCCCTCCTATCAGCACACGCCCTCCTTTTTTCCCCCACTATGCACTTTCAAGAACAATTTCTGCATTAAACAGCACTGTGTGGCATTACCCCAGCTTAAGCAAGCACCTTGGCAGAATCCATTTGCTACATGCACGAGAGCAGGCTACCTGAATAACACAGGGTGGAAGGATATGACAGACATCTCTAGATAAAGCGTGCCTCTGACAGAGGATCCCCAGCTGCTTTCGTGACCTTTGCTAACCTCACGTAAATGTGGGAGTCCATTTGTTTGGAATCTGTCTTGCACAATTCAATCAGTGGGAATTGTTCAAGGGAGCACCAGTTTTATTGCACAAGTCTCATCAATTTCTTGAGGGTACCCCCAGGGGAACACTCCCACAGTCTTAAACCCCCAGTACAATAATATTACTGCTATATATTTCTGTTTCCGTGAAGGCAAAAGGATGAATGGCAGTTTGAAGGAAGATGTAGCAACAATTAGTCATGACTGGATGTTTTTCAAAAAAGCAAAAACTGTTGGAAAATAGCATTCCATGGAGATGTATTTTGCTTGAAAATATATCTGATGGAACAATTCCAACCACCTTTGTGTATTGTAATGTGTTAGTCCATATAAGGCATTTCCATCGCATTACTTCAGAGCAAATCAATAAAGAGAGTCTTACTGAGAATTCCTTTATGCCTCTTTCATTAAAAGATGCAAAGATATCTGGATCTTAGTAGGCCCTTATTCTGGGAGCTTTAGCTGACAGATGCTACTACCAACATCTTAAGAAGCAACATGACAACAAATGCAGACTGTGTCAATCAGCCACTAATGTGAACTTGGAGAGAGAAAACAGAAAAAACTGTTCTTTGTCTTTTGCAAATTATTAGTAAAATACAAGGGGAAAAAAAATCCTTACTCTCACCAAAAAAACAAAACAAAAACAAAAACAAAAAACCCTAAGTATCACTAGGAGTGAGGTTCACTAATCAAATTAAATAAACCTCCAATTTATGGAGCTACATTTTCCAAATCCTTAGAGGTACTGATATCTATGCATTACTCTAAGGCTGGGTTTAGCAGATAAACTGAACATTCATTATGAGCTTCTCTTTTTTATAAGGCAACTTCAAAAAGATTTGTTTTGTTGAGGGATTAATTCCACTACCAAAACAATGGCTATGTTTTCTTGATGTCCAGGAACGCAACACTGCACGCTCTGAGTTTTGACCATCACCAAGCCTTTCTGGGTTCTTCCCATTCTCCACAGTGATTCTTCCTTTCCCTTTTTGGCTTGCCATGCTTAATTTGTCTTGGGCCAAGCCTTTCCTTTTTTCACCAGCCTGACCCAGCTGACATTCTTAAAGGATCTCAGTCATAAACCCAGCCAGAGCTAGCTAAGGCAACAAAAAACATTGTTCACTTCGCCAAGGAAACAAATCAGTGTCTTCGGCTTTAAAAAGGTATTCCAGGAAGAAAGCCAGAATGGTACACGCAAGTCCTAAATAATCTTTCCAGGGAGCCATCCAGCCAGTATCACACACATGCACACTTACATACATATAGATATAGATATACAAGCGCACACACCTATTCTCTTGCATACCCCTCATGACTTGCCCTTGAGTTTCCTTGCAAGGTGTCTACTGGATAAAACCCAAAATCAAGTCTTTGAAAATAAAAATAAAGGAGCATTCACTTTCAAAGAGATGGGGGAACTGAGTCTCTTCCAAGATGCAGCATTATAGTTTAAGAGTTTGTCAAAGAACAAGGGGTTGGGAGGAAGAGATATCTTGAGTTCACATATATGTTGGGCAAGGAGAAAAGTGCAAAATTGAGGCAACATATCTGAAGTCTGTTTTTTTTGTTTGTTTAAAAGGATTGTGTTCCTGTTCCATTCTCAGCAATGCGAGCTGCGATCTTGCTCTAGTTTTATTGTTAAGGTCGGCTCCACAGCCAGAGGGGCCCCGTTGGCATAGTGGGAGGTTTTGTAGGTGATGGAGTGATCACTCTTCTTGGCCGCATAGCGGAACCGGTGGTAGTGGAGCACAAGGGCCAGCGCGACGGAGACCAGAACCAGAACAGCACCTCCGGCGGCCATAACGTAATACCAGTAGGCTGGGATGGGCTGCACTGACACCGTGTCCACTGTGGGCTCGCTCCCTGGCAGAAGGGTGCCCCCTGGGGGAGAGACAGAAGAATGTTGCTAGGTGGGAGGCATGCAGGTGGATTAAAAACAACAAGCACACATATACACACACACATACACATGCTCTGAGAAATTCTGTGCAATTTAAACAAGGTCTTGCATGAACGACAAGGTCTTGCATGTGGGAACATAACTTGGATTTTGACAAGCAGGCAAATTAAAGCATTTCATTAATAGGGGGAGGGGGAAATGATGTAAATTTTGTTAATAGCCATTATCCTTGATAGGAACAGGCCCCTCCACCCCCTCTCCAATCAGCCCCGTCTAGCAGCAATATGGTATTTGTTTGTCAAGCGGTGACAAAACATATCACCATTTTAAACAAGTGACAAGAGTTTAATTGCAAAGTATGAAGAAGGTTGTGACAGGATTACAGAAAAGATACTAGAGAGGAAAAACATGCTTCATTACTTTGGGAAAAGAAAATGGAAAAGAAGCTGTGCTTTCACAGGCCATCATGCTCCAAGATTTTAGAAGTATTCCCCAAGCCAGCACCAGCCTTTGGAATAGAGCAGAACACAGAAAATCCATTTCACGATTCTAGCATGACTTTCCAATTCACGGCTAATCAGGAATGGACTTATGGCACAATTTAATGTATATCCGCTCAAAAATAAATTCCACTGTACTTTTCAACAGGGCTTACTCCATAATAAGTGCATCTAGGACTATAAGCTAAATATAACTTGTATAATATTAGCTTTACACTGATATCTGCTACAAACTCTATATTTAGGCTGTATTCTTGTCTCAGATTTTTTGACTTTCCCATGTCCCTCTTTTTTCTGGAATGTCTGAACGACTCTCCTTAGTCTGAACTAAAGATATATTCTAAAGCTGTCTATCAAATTAACTAGTACGTTAAGCAATATTAGATTTATTCCCTCATCTACCTCCCTCTTCCATATCACTGCCTAGATGGATTCCCATGCCTTGATAGTTCAAGGCACTGCAATCCACACTGTTATTGGGTAGCTCATACACCACCCCCAGTGAAAATCCTTTCTGTTCTATAGGTTAGGAAAGCTAGAAACGGCGATATACATTTCCCTCTTCTGCCTTCTTCAATGTCAATGCAACACTGATTTCAGCTATTTTAAGAAATCAGCCAGGCAAAGCTTTGCATTTTATCTATCTTGCCTTTTACAAGATCAAAAAAGGAGTGTTTCCTGTAATGTAGCTAAATTTTGGGCTATTATCTGCTCCACATGTCATAAATATGAGGTCAAAGGTGAATTATTGCTCAAGTAAGGGGGATGTACTAGCAGGCTTCAAAAAGGTTTTATGTTAATATATATCAGTATGTTCTGAGCTACATCTATATAACTGGGAAATTACATTTATGAACATATATTAATCACTGGTTCTATATTTTCATCATAATAAATTGGAAAAGTTTCACTGAATGCAATTGAATTTCCTTCTTAAAAGATAGGTATAAGATAATACCGAGTTCATTAACTGTATATTTTTAACCAAGTAATCAGTTAAACTTAAATAAATGACTATATAAGCCAACTTTTTGATGTAAATGCTTTTTGGGGGGAGCTAAAGAATATGTCAGATAAAACTTATAATTTAATAAGTGAAAACTAGCATTTATTAGAAGAAAAATCTCTCTTCTTTATTTCCTACAGACATAATAGTATGGACTTCAGTAGAAATTCTCTCCAATTAACATTTTCATCACTAATTAATTTCACTTCCAGTTGATCAATTCAATTTAAGTTGACTAAATATACAAATTAAAACAATCAGAGCTTACTTATGTCCCTATATCTAGATGTATTGTTCATGTAATCAGGACTATTTGGTATGAATCAAATATGCACAAATAAATAAATAAATAAACCCACCACTTTGCTAGAATCATTGCCTAAAATGCTGAACAGCACAATGGACCTTAGTCCAAATAAGCCAGTGTAAATATCAGTCTCTGAGATGCTATTTCAGAAATGCCAGCCAAGCACCTCTCATAGTCCCCTTACTCCATCTCATAGGGTGACAACCATTCTCCTCAGTCATAAGTTGGCATTGGGAGACCAAGCATCATCATTGTTAACAGCCTGGGAGATAACCTAGGACTGAGATCTCCAGTGTGGTACCTGTGGACATCTCTTCCTCTGGTGTCGAGCATCCTCCCAGCAAATTCCATCTTGTCATTAAATGATAATTAAAACAAAAAAAGAAAGTAGGGGCAATTTGCCTTTCTCAGATTTTCCAGCAGCTACCCCCTTAGGCAGGTTTATAAAGGCTCTAAATATTCAATCCTCATTTTAATGCAAGGTACCTGTTGATACATTGCTTTATGGTTATGTTGTTTCAAATGTACAGCTATTCCAGGATGGGGTTTAAAACAACATTCAGAGCACAGACTTTTCCAGAAGCAGAAAATGAGCAGTCACCTAGATATTTGTGATAGAAATGTATAATCTCTCTACCTCACACACACACACACTAGAAGCCATCAGCATAACCACCAGCAAGTGACCTTCCATCTCTGCTGAAAAGCCATTTATTGGAAGGAGTAATGAAAGGAGACCTTTCTGCTCACCCTCCATCCCAACAACAGAATGGAATCAGTCAGTGGGAGAACGTGCAACAAAGCTTCCACTGAGCCTGTTCCAGACATAGCTAGAGAGCCTTGAATGTCAAGACCCTCCAGAGAAGGTATCAGCTTGCAGGATCCTCTTCCCCACCCCACCAAAAAAGGGTGGTGGTGTGGGGGAGCAAGGAGACTGTTGCTGTCTATCTTCTTTCTTCATCAACTCACAGTATTGGGAAACGGAATGCTTGATTGTCTCCAATTATTTCTGTGAAGAAGTCTGAAAGGCTGTGTCTCAGGTAATATGACACCAAGGAGTGGCTGGCTTTCCTCACCTTCAGCTGTCTCTCTGCCCCTTCCACCATTTTATTAAGATACTTTTTTCATCTTATCCCACCTTTCATGAGATATAAATTTGTTGGAGGGGGGACCTAAAACCTGGAGTTAATAAGGACCAAAGTCTTAAGTCTAGTGATCTTATCCTCAGGGTAAGGCCCTGATATCACAATTCCGGATGAAGTCTACTTATGAATGCCTACTGTCTCCATTAACATTCCAAACATTCCATGTAAACTCTGACTATGCAGACTAAACCCTTAAGTTTAGTTCTAAGTTCTAAGAAGGTGGAATGTTTCTCTGATCTTTAAACTAGATTTATAAAGATATTTTGGTAATGTGGCTTTTTTCTTCTATTTAACAGGAACTTTGCTTTTTGTTTCCCTCATGAACTTATCTGATCCTGATCACTATAAACAACAAGCAGAAGGAAATGATTCTGCAAAGAACTCCAGAAGATACAGCCAACAGACATATGGAAACCTGTGAGTGGTCTGGGGACAAGGATTTAGATGCAAGCAGTCAACGGGCAATCACCATAGATCAGCCATCCAACAGAGCAAATAAATACTTTGGGGTGACAATGTACTCTAAGAAGGTCCAGAGCCCTGCTGAACCCTTATATCCTTCCTTTCTCCCTGCTGGGAAAATTCAAGCTGCTGTGGATCCCTACCCAACTTCTCTACTTCCTTTACTCTTTCCTAAACAATATATACCAAAGGCTTGTTTACTTTTTTAGTGGAAATTTTGCCTTGCATCAAATACCAAGATGAGAAGTGTAGAAAGAACACCACAAAAACAAACCTGAGCAATAAAGTTGCTCATCATCTTTGGAAGGATGAACAAGGAGAAACTATCCTGCAGCACACTGAACAATGTAAACATCTCCACTCAATCTCTTGCTTTGCCACCCAGGTAGCAAAAGAACAAAACACAAATGACAGCTTCATTACTAGTCACCTGTAACCAATTCATTGGTACTTTATTGCCAATTTTAAGTTTAGATGCAGCAAGTTTCCACCATCCCCAAAGTCTTTGTGAAAAGAACTTATTAAGACCCAAATAAGGCAGGCCACCAACAGAAAATGTAACCTCTTCCTCTTCTGTTGCACATGCATAATTTGTTGGGTAGAATCTGAACACTGGAAATAAAGCTGCATAGAGGATTTTAAACAAAATTGTCTGTTCTAGATGACAGTGCTGCTTTGGGTGGCTTCAATTGTACTTTGATCATGCTTACAGTTAAGCATATTTTCTTAAAATAGGGGTAGTGCCACAATCTTCTCAGAATTGGATCAAGCCCCCAGCCATCTTCTGTCATATATAGAAGGATAAATATAGTATATGAGCATCTGAAGCCACTGTTCTTTTTCTTCTAATCCCTTTCTGTTCTCTAATATGACTAATCTGGAGCAATAGGTTTGAGTCTACCACCCTGCTGCTATTTTCAGCTAAACACTGTAGTATGTTATGGAACATCATATTCTACCCTGCCCTGGGTAAAGAGAGGGGGAAGCTCTTCTCCATGGCTTTCCTTTAGTTCTGCCATTTACAACTATGATGTAGGAATAAACACAAAGGATTTTAGTTGAAAATGGCAGATCCATGTTGCAACGTAAAGGATGGGTGGAGAAGAGCTCACCACAAGGGTGTGAAATAGCAAGGCTAGCATACAGAACAGGTGAAGGCTCGGGAATTACTGCTAGTGCTGCCTGTGTCAGCACTTGGTGTGATAGAGTGTTGTCTTCCATCAGCAGAAAACAGCTCCTTGTATATTGTCCTTTAAGATGATGGGCATTTTCTCTCAGACTAAAGGGAAGGTGGGAAAATAGCAGCAGGAAGGAAAAGAAAAAAAAAACCCTGTAGTGCTAAAAAGAAAGCATCGACATAAGTAGTTCAAGCTGTTGGAAGGCTTCCTGTGGCATCTAGTTCCTTACATATTGCATTTTCAAGATGGGCACTTTACATTCTTCTATTTAAAGCACATACCTAAATATGCCAAACACAGATAGGACAAGCAGGTATTTGAAAACACACACCTCTTCCTGTGTACACTTAAAAGCAAACACAGATTTGTTGTTAAGCAATGGATAAACTGAAAATGTCTGGCTGCTACTTAGAGACTGCCCTCATATCCTCAGATTGTCAGTGGGGTGAGAAATTAGAAAACGGAGACTTTTTTCCATTGGTTCTCCCTGCACTCAGTTTAGTAGCACACCTGGCAGGAAAGAATACAACATGGGAGGCAAGGAGAGGAGAACTGTGGGCTGGGTGGCTCGCTTGCATGTGTGCATGAAACAAAATTTCTTTGCTTCCTCATGCACAGGCAAGTTTAAAGGCATTGGGGGAAATCTTGCTCTCTCTCTCAAAAGATTTGCATGGTCCTTTCTAAGAGAGAATCAGTCTGTGAAAGTCTTCCTATCTTTGTCCATGGGACCACATACGAATCACTCAAACTGATGCTGAAGTGGAGAAATTCTGCTTTTCGGATTAAGGTGCTTCATGTGGGAAACACGCAGAGCGAAAGTGTGTTCGGCTATTCTCCTAATATCTGTCCTTCAGGATGTACAATTACAGTATATATGTTCAACAAAATTATTTTTAGGCCAGGACTATTTTCAGTAAGCACAGAGTAGGCTCCCCTCCCCATCTTTTCAGGAGTAGCTAGGAATTTTAATTTGTTTGACTTTTTGCATAAAGAATAAGGAGAATCCAATAATTATTTGTAAGGCAGACTGACAAATGTTCACTTTGAAAGTGGGGATTCACAAGACTACACATTTATCCATAAAAATAAAGGACAGCAAAATAAAGTAAGTTCCTGCACATAGAAGATTCAGGTTGTCAAGGAAAATATAAGGTTGGACCTTACTTCATGACATCTAAGCTTTTAAACAACATAGAGGGAATGTTTACATAGAAGAGCATTTATGCATATGAATCCTCACCTGTAGCCTAAGGAAATACAGTCAGA